TTTGCCACAAAAAGATCTTGATTTTGAGTGGAATGCCAGCCTTCCACAGCCCCCTGGCCATATCAAGCCCATTCCCCTCCGTAAGCTTCTCGTATAAGGATTTAACCGAGAATTTACGAGAAGCCGCAAGCTTCCAATCAATCTGATCTTGATCGTGGCTGAGACTCCATCCCTCGAGCTCAGCCACCAATGCCTCCCAAGCCGTCGCCTCTCCCGCTTCCAGAGGTCTGAAGAAGGAGATCGTCGGGGGGTGCACTCTGAGAGCGTCAGCGACCATGATGTGTGTGTCCGTGGCAAGCTGGAACAGCTGCGGGTAGGACTGCCACAGCGGCGTTTGACCCTTCCAACAATCCAACCAAAACCGCGTGGACTTGCCATTGTTAACTGTAAACTGGGCCCCAACCGCAAACGCTGGCCTAACCGCTTGAATGCCATTCCAAAAGGGCGATCCTTTGGGTTTGGCCTTAAAAAGGTTGCCATCCGGGAAATACTTGGCCCGAAGAATATCAGCCCAGAGACCCTTCTTGTTTTGGGCAAGTCGCCACCACCATTTGGTAAGGAGCGCAACGTTTATCAGTTTCGAGTTCGTGATCCCCAGACCACCGAACTTGTTAGGACGACAAACCGCAGCCCATTTAACCAGATGATATTTGCGCTTTGTCCCAGTTCCTTCCCAAAAGAACCGGGCGCGAGGCGTGTCAAGCTTGGCATGCACTCCATCAGCTAGGAGGAACAAACCCATCGTAAAGATGGGCAAGGAGGATAAGCTAGAATTGGTCAAAATCAACCTAGCAGCAGAGGACATGAACCTACCTCTCCACGGACTGACCCGGTTCACCACTTTGCCGTAAAGTGGCGCCCAGTCGGCAATGGTCAAGTTTTTGTGGTTTATCGGTAGTCCCAAGTATTTAATCAGAAACTTCCCAATCTTACAATTGAGCAAGTTTGCGATTCTCCGACCTTCGTGATCATCCATCCCTATGTTGATCACTTCGCTTTTGAGAAAATTAATCTTTAGACCCGAAAGAATCTCAAAACTAATCAAAAGCAACTTAATTGTTGCAATGCTATGGTCGTCTGGCTCAAAAAGCAGCATCGTGTCATCCACGTATTGCAGATGAGTCACGCCGCCGGGGATTAGGTGGGAGATCAACCCTTTGATGTGCCCCGCAACCCTGGCTTTGCTGATCAGAGCCGCCAAAGCGTCCGCAACGAAATTGAAGATCAAAGGAGAGCTAGGATCTCCCTGCCTAAGGCCGCGTTTATTGCGAAAGAATTTGCCCATTACACCATTGATGGTCACGACCGTGTGTCCACTACTCACAAGGTGCATGATACGGTGGACAAAGCCCACATCAAAACCCTTTTTGATGAGGACTTCTCGCACGAACTCCCAGTTCACACGATCGTACGCTTTTTCGAAATCTAACTTAAGGAGGACACCTCTAGACTTGGTACGTTTGAGCTCATGCACGATTTCGAGAAGCGCTAACGGTCCTTCAAGAATATTACGCTGCTTGAGGAAACCCGATTGGCTAGGGCTAATCACTCGTTGAGCGACAGGCGCCAAGCGGGAGGCGTAAGCTTTTGCACAAATCTTGAAAGGGACATTAATCAGAGTGATAGGCCGAAATTGCTTAATGTCGTCGGCCCCTTTAACCTTAGGGATCATACTAATAGCCCCGTAGTTGAGCCGAGATAGGTCAACGGTACCTAGCGTAAAGCCATTCACTAATTCGTAGAAAAGAGATTTGAGCTTAGACCAAAACTTCTTGAAGAATTCCACCGGCCACCCATCCGGTCCGGGTGTCGTGCCCGTTTTCATATCATGCACAACACGATCTATTTCCTCCGGAAGGAAAGAGAGGACGAGCCCATCGTTCTCCACCCGTGAGACCCGATCAGCAGGGTCCCAAAGGTCGTCCCGGAGGCATAGAGGTTTCTCCTCGGCCGTTCCCAACAGCCCTATGAAGAACTCATAGATGTGAGCTACGATGAGCTCGTTGGAGAGTAAGAGCCCTTGATCGGATTGTAATCTAAGGATCGTACTTTTACGTTTTCTACCGTTAGCGTAAGCATGGAAATAGCCGGTATTAGCGTCTCCTTTGGTGACCCACTTGATCCCGCCCCTGCGGCGCCAATACTCCTCTTCGGCCCGGAGTATGGCAAGAACTTGGCGTTCCAAGTCGTAACGAGTGGCTCATTCATTCTCCGAGAAGGGCCGCCGGTCAGCCTCCAAGTCTAACGCGGCAATTGCCTCAACAATTTGGGCCCGCTCTCGCTTGGATTCGCTGCCATGGTTAGCCCCCCAACCACGCAGGAAAGCCCTGAGTTTGCTTGCCGCCAAGTTCCAGCGCTCTGCCGGTCCCCGTTGCGGCCCAAGCTGGTGGCAGATCGTATCCCAACGATCCAACACCATCTGAGCAAACCCCTCGGACTCAAACCAAGCCGTTTCGAAATAGAATCGGGGGCTTCGCCTAATATATTCCTCCCCCGAAGAAAATATCAACGGAACATGGTCCGAGCCGATTCTAGTTTCAGCCACCAAATTGCATAGGGGAAATAAAACCTCCCATTCGGGGGTAAAAAATACCCTATCCAACACGCTCCGGACCGGGCACAACTGCTTGTTTGTCCAAGTATATCTCGCCCCGGTCCGAGCGGCCTCTCGCAACGCCGATGCCGCTATGGCCGCATTGAACATGGACACCCGAGTCCAGTCAATGTTGGCGTTGTTTTTGTCCGCACCCGAGCGAATAAGATTAAAGTCCCCACCTACAACAAGGGGGAAATTGAGAGCTCGCTTGGTCCCTACCAAATTAGTCAATTCCTGTAGGAAGATATCCGAGCGCGAGTGATCTGCCGGCCCATAAACGCACACCACTACCCACGAAAGGCCCGAGACGCGGTGTCTAATAGTAGCAGAAAGAAAAAATACACCAACATCCCATTGTAAAACATCACAGATATCATTATTACAGCCCATTAATATACCACCTAAGTGGCCCGCTGAGGGCAACCAGTGCCAAGAGAAACGTTGTAAGGGATCAAAAGCCAGAAGATCACGGAACGAGAAGTCGGCTTTGATCGTTTCCTGAAGGGCTACGACGTCAATCCTCTCTTTGGCAATGTACTCCTTGAGTTGTGTACGCCGCCCCACGTGGCCACAACCCCGAATGTTCCAGAAAAGATAGCGCATTTAGATGATACGATTGCGCAGGCGCACCCCCCTGGATGTCACCGCTTTCGCCACGCGCTTCCTAGCCGGCATCCGACTGGAAGAAGGAATTACAGAGGCCTCCCTAGCCTCTGTCTCCTCCTCGGGCACTACCTCGCTGCCATCCGCACCCGGAACGATGTCGCGCTGGATTTGTTCGTCCCCACGAGCCGTCGCAGCCGCCGGCATGGCCTGCGCTTCTTCCCGAGCACGGACCATAGAAATAATCTCGCTACAAGGGTCACTAATCGCCACGCCACTATCATCCAGAATGCTAGCAAGCTGATCATCCGTAAACGCATTCAAGATACGGTAAGATGGTAGGGGATTACCTGTAACCTCCAGGTTCTTGTCAGCGAGCCGCAGTTTAGCGCTTTCCAACGACGTCAGTTCTCCCAGTTTGGCCTTGGCGCGGGCGCTGGGGGCCCGCGGAGTCACCGGAGTAGCCTTGGAGCGTCTTGCCTTGCTGCCCACGTCTGCCTTGCCCAACGCCTCCCCCAACTCGCCACCCAGCGTCGCCACCGCCACCGTCGATACTGTCTTGGGGGCCGGCTTCCGCCCAGCCGTCTTCTTAGCCTGACGTCCCGCACTGTTGGAGCCACGCTTGTTGGCAGGGGTCAAGTCGACAGTCCCAGGAGCCACAGGAAGAGAAGACAACGGGTCCGCAGCCACGATAGCCCCAACCACCTCTTGAGTATACGTCTGTGCCCTTGCCAGGGCCGGGATGTTGGATCCGTACTCATCAAAGGCAAGCGTCAGGGATCTGGCCAGGGGTGGCACACTCACCGCCGTGTCCTGGGTCGCCAAACCCAAGGCTCCCGAATCAGTGGACGCCGCTCCCAGCTTATCCCAAGTCTCCGTGTCAATAGAGTAATCCTGTTGGCTGTCATCCCCTTCTTCGCCCGTATCCTGCATCTTGGAGTCGCCGTCAGGGGCCTTGGCAAGCGCCCGGTCCTCTCCCTGAGGTTCATTACCAGGGGCGGCCCCTTTAGGCGGAGCGCTACCCGATGACCGAGCTCCACCGTGATCAGCAGAGTCCTTTGGCGGGGGGTTGGGAGGTTCAAAACCATTCATCACACGTTCTCCCCCACGCTTGGGCAGGATCTCACGCTCCACCTTGATCTGGTACCCTTCATGATTGAACCACACTTCCACAAATCCATTCAGTTTCTCCGGAGCCTTGCATGCTAACTTCATCCTCACAGGCCCCAACCTGATAAGGGACAATTCATCCACCACAATCGGGCGGCCAAGCATCCGAAACCCTTTCCTTATGCGGTCCTCACGCCTGTGTTTCTTTGGAATGCCATGCAACCGAACCCAAGTCTCTGGCATGGCCATTGGCTGCACCTCCTCATGAAGCATATCCCGAACCGATGCCGTGATGCAGCCAATGTTTTTGTGAAATTTTCCCGAACCGATGCCCGCTAGAAATTTCCTGATGTGAAATTTTCCTGATGCAGCCAATGTTGAAAAATACTCCTGGCAAGTTGGGCATTCAACTCCTGCAAATGCGGTGACTGATGACTTGGTGATCTTTCAACAAAAAACCAGACACAAGGCAAAGCACGCTGCACGTTTCCACTTAGTACGTGTGGCGTTAGATCGTCCAAGGATCCAAGCAAACATTGCCTTCATACCACTCCCCTCCTCCTTCCCTTTGATATTCACAGAAAAAAAGGGCATATCCCAAGAAGCCTCAGTAGACATGATTCCCCTCCCAGTGAAGCCTGAGTAGACATGCCAAGAAGCAGAGGTATATGTGAGAGAATCTTGAATAGGTATGGCTACTCTCCCAGTGTTCGTCCTCCTGTCATTGATTTGTGTCTGCAAGTCTGATGACCGCCTTACACCTGCAAAGCCGCTCTCTGCTGGCAACAAGCTTGTTTCGAGCGGCGGCGTCTTTGCTCTCGGCTTCTTTTCCCCGACAAACTCAACTACGGGCGCATATGTTGGCATATGGTACAACAACATCCCTGAGCGTACATATGTGTGGGTTGCTAACCGCGACAACCCGATCACCAACGCTTCTCCTGGGAAGCTGGTTCTGACCAACAACTCCGACCTTGTATTGTCTGACTCCCGAGGCCTCGCTCTTTGGACAACCAAGAACAACTTCACATCCGGAACCACAGGAACTTCTGCTGTACTGCTCAACTCCGGAAACTTGGTCATCCGGTTGCCGAATGGCACAGACATATGGCAGAGCTTCCAACATCCAACTGACACGGTCCTCCCCAGCATGCCTTTATCCCTGAGCGCAAATGATGGTCTCTACACTCGCCTCATTGCTTGGAGGGGCCCTGATGACCCAGCCACCAGCGACTACTCCATGGGCGGTGACTCTAGTTCCGGCCTCCAGATTGTCATCTGGAATGGGACGAGGCCGTATTGGCGCAGAGCTGCGTGGGATGGTGCATTGGTCCCTGCCTGGTATCAAGGCACCACCGGCGCCATCATGACCCTAACAATTGTTGACAGAGGGGGTGAGTTATACATAACATTCACCGTCTCTGACGGCTCGCCAAGCATGCGCCTGATGCTGCACTACAGGGGCATGTTTAAATTTCTGGCATGGAACAGCAACTCGTCATCATGGGAGGTTTTCACAGAGCTGCCTAGTTCTAGCTGTGACCGATATGCCTATTGCGGACCATTTGGCTACTGCGATGCCACTGAAACAGTTCCGAAATGCAACTGCCTCAGTGGGTTTGAGCCTTATGGTGTTAACTTCTCCAGAGGGTGTCGGAGAAAGGAAGATCTGAAATGTGGCGGTGGTGATAATTTCTTGACCTTGAGAGCTATGAAGACACCCGATAAGTTCGTTTATGTTAGGAACAGAAGCTTTGACCAATGCACAGCAGAGTGCAGCCGCAATTGCGTTTGCACTGCGTATGCTTATGCTAACTTGCAAAATGGAATCACATCTGTTGACCAGTCAAGGTGCTTGATTTGGTTGGGGGAGCTTGTTGACACGGGAAAGTATCCTGATGGTAATGGCGAGAACCTGTACCTCCGTCTTGCCAGTTCAACAGGTATATATCATCCCTTATGCGCTTATTCAGCTTATTCATTATACGGTATAATCGATCCCTTTTGGTTAGGATGACATGCTAAATGTGGTTAGGATGACATACTAATCCTGACAAACACAACATTTGCCAGAAATGCATGTTGAATTTTGGAAGCATCATTCTCTTGCTGGACTATATTTCTGGCTTTCTACAGTTGGGAAACAGAGTAATAATGTATTGAAGATTATACTAACACAACACTTGGAAAAATGCATGTTGTTAAATTTTGAAAGCATCATTCTCTTCCTAAATTTCTAGTTTTGTGCAGTTGACAAAGCGAGTAATGTACTGAAGATTGTACTCCCAGTAATTGCTAGTACTCTTATACTCACATGCGTCAGCCTTGTATGGATCTGCAAGTCAAGAGGTAAACTCTATATTTGCTTCACTTTC